AAAAAAAAAGGTTCAAATCATAAAAATAAATTCAACAGCCAGACTAATAGCCCAAAAAGCATATAAAACACATAAAACAATTTGTTAAATCATCAGCCATGCTGGATTACGGTAACTTTTTTCTCTTTTTGCCTGTTTTTTTTGTTTGTTTGTTTTTTGGGGTTTTTTTAGAGATATGGTTTCCCCTTGTAGCCCACATTGGCCTCAAACTTGCAGCAATTCTCCTGATTCAGCCTCCCGAGTGCTGGAATTATGGGGGTGCACCACCAGGCCTGGCTACATTTAGTTTTAATTTAGTGGTACTGGGCATTAAAGCCAGGGCTCCTGCAACTGCTCTGCATCCCCAGGCCTTTGCAATTTATTATGAAACAAGATCTCCCAGAATTGCCAAATTGTTCAGTCTGGGCTTGACCTTTCAAACCTCCTACCTCAGTCTCAGCCTCCTGCATGCTTTGTGTACTTATTTCACTTTTTTTTTTTTTTCTGGTACCGGGGATTGAACTCAGGGCCCTGGGCTTGCCAGGCAAGTGCTTATTCTACTGAGCTATCTCCCTGTCCTTATTTCACTTTCTAACAGGAAAAATAAAAGCATAACCTCTGTGGAAAACACCCCTGCTTTGTGCCCACAACCCTCCATATATAAGAAAGATTCTGAAACTGAAACTAACGAGCATGTGCATAAATAGTAGTGTAAAAGGGACTGGGGAGATGGCTCAGTGGAATAAGCACTTCCCTGGCAAGCGCAAGGATCTGAGTTCAATCCCGGGTTCCACCAGAAAAAAAAAAAAAAAAAGTAGTGTAAAAAAGGAGGCTATTTGCATAGAGTGGACAGGGTTGTTAAGCCTCTCCTCCATTGGGCTGGTCCTCCATGCAGCATGCAAATAAGATATGTAAATCAAGTGGGTGGGATCAGGCCGCTGTGGTGTGAACGTGAGCCAGCTTTTCCACAAGAAAGGCACATGAATCATGTCCGCATCTTGTACAGCAAATAACCACTAGGAAGAATGTATGCAGTGTGTTAATTATTGAAACTGACCTACCAATTCGGTTTGAAACTGTCTCATCGCTATTTGTTTATCAATAAAATTATGGGGAAAAAAAGAAAGGTACATGAATCAGGTGGATAAAAGTCTTCACGCTCACTAAGATCCAGAACATACTTCACCTCCTCCCTCTGCAAAATGTGCAAGAAAAGTAAAATTCAAGTCCATTTCTTTCTGAAGCCTAAAAATAGAAAATAAAATGGATAAGCAAAAAAATGGTGTCGGGTAACTGGGTCCAGATGACCCGGAATTCTGGGAACTGTTGCTCTCAGAACCAAGGCAGAGGGCAATGGAAAGGCAGCTCGGGAAAAACAGGACACTGTGCCCTCATCTGCTTTAGTCACCAGATCTGGCACCATGTGACTCGTGCTCCTCCCTAGAGTCACCATGACCACGAGGGGGAAAAGTTTTGAACCCATTCAGGACATTGAAGCAGCCAGAACAGCACAGCTAAAGAGCCTCAGAAAAAGAGGCCTCCAGAGCTGCTGGGAGGATAATAGAGGAGTGTGTTCAAAGCAGAGAGCACTGTGGAGGAATTTACAGTGGTGTGTTTTAAGGTATTTAATGTTTGCATATTTAAGTGCACAGTATATTTGTCAGATCTCTATGTCTTTGGATTCATAAAAACCACAGCTCCATTCTTCAAACTGAGACTCTCTCTCTTCTAGCTACCCCATCCCTAGAATATTTCTGAGGTCTCTGACAGTGACCCAAGCTGGCCTCTGTGCACTGAGCAGCTGTCCTGTCCCTCTGTGGTGGCATGTTTCACAGTTTCCCTGAGCTACTAAACTTCCCAGGCTGGGCTCATTGGGACACTCCTGACTCAGCCTCCCAGTGCTGGAATTACAAGCTTTTGCGCAGTGCCCCAGCTACTATACTACTTACCTGTAGGCTTGGCCAGCTGCCAGTACTCCACTACTCTATGACAGGCTCCCTTCTCAGAAGCTCTGGGGAGGAGGCTCTGTTCCCTTCACCACCTTCCTGTGCCCCAGAGCCACTGTCCCTTGTGCAGGACTGCAGGCGCCCAGCTGTCAGGATCCTGAGAGTAGGGATTCACACAGCAGTAGGATGTGCCCCAACCCAAATGAGGGGACTCTCACCAGGTTCCGCCCCCTTCTCACTTCCCACCCAACTGCCACTGATCATCCCGCCCACCCAGAGTTCCTGGATGCCCATTGGGTACCACCCCTGCCACTCCTCAGAAACAGCTGTGGCCCTCCTCCTCCTCCTCGTCCTCTTCGTCCTCCTCTTCCTCCTCTTCCTCCTCTTCGTTCTTCATCCCCACCCCGCAGCTTCTGGGGCCTCCTCTAGCTTCAGTCTCTTGCCCTGGTTGGCACCGTGCCAGGGCCCAGGTACCCTGCCAAATCCTTAGTCTACCCTGTGTCCCAAGTTCTCCTAGCTCTGAGCTCCTCAAGGACCAGAAATAAGTGTTCCTCTGTTTGGAGACAGGGTCTCCTATGTAGCCCAGGATGGCCTCAAACTGGAGATCCTCCTGCCTCGGTGTCCCCAATGCTGGCATCTCAGGCCTATGCCACCAAGCCCAGCCCGTTGGTTTTATCAGTTCTTGCCTGAACCTTTCCACCAACCTGCCCACCCAGAACTCCTCAATTTCCATGGCGTCTGGTTTTAAAGCCTCAGGAAGCTCCAGGGTGGGATGGACTGTGAGGTGGGGACCACTGCCAACCTGCAGGCATGCCCAGGGCAAGCTCTCAGCAACATCCTCAAGCCCATGAAGGGTGCTGGGACACGGGGAGAGGTTCAGTTACCAAAGGTCCCCAGACAGAAGTAGGTGAGGATATTCAGCTGCACAGAATCCAAGGGATGCTCAGACAGGTTCTGAGCCAAAAAGCATAGTGCTCGCTTGGCCTGGTGGCACATGCCTGTGGTGTCAGCACTCAGGAGGCTGAGGAAGGAGAGGATCCCTGGGGTTTGAACCAGCCTGGGTTGCATGCAAAATAAAATAGAAAGAGAGAAGAGAAAAGAAAAAAAGTAGGAAGGATACATGTATATGCCTTGAAGAGTCATCATCCATGGCAGGGACGGAAGTGGAGTGAGAAGCACTGTGCTCTCTGACCCCTCAGAGTGAAGCAGGAATGTTTCATAAAAGCAACACACTCACATTAATGTTTGCAGGCCACACATTTCGAATCCATCCAGGGTCCTTCATGATCGGAATCTGAAAAGCAGAAATGCTGGATTTGAATTCATAATGTATACATGCTGGACTATCATATATACATGATTGTCCGTGTATACAACTTTTGTGTTTTTAATCAGTTGAAAAAACTAATCAGGTACAATGGCATCAACCTGTAATCCCAGCACTCTGGGAGGCTGAGACAGGAGGATTACAAATCCAAGCTCAACCAGGGAAATTTAGCAAGACATGTCTGAAAATAAATAAGGCCTGGGTATGCAGCTCCATGAGAAAGCCCCGGGTTTAATCCTTGGTAGTTCAGAAAGGAAAACAGCAAGAAGGAGGGTGGGTGGCAGGCAGGGAGGGAGGAAATCATTAGGTCCTGGGTCAGAGGGGACATTGCATCTGAGCCTCTTCTGGACCTGCTGTTGTTCCCCTCTGACTGGGCTCACTGCAGTGCTGCAGGTCACAGTGATGTGGCCAGCTGTGAGGACAGCAGACTGGCCTTCCTGGGCCGCCAGGTCACCAGACCATACCCTCCGTGAACAATGGCTGCGTTGAGGTCGGGGCTATGGCTCCGCCTCGCTGGGCAAGCTCGGCTCTGGACCTGACTCAAAGCAATGTCTCAGAGCAGAGGACAACGCCGGGGGAAGGGGCTCTGTGAGCCCGGCTGGCCCTGGAAGGGTTTCAGAGATCTGATCTGAGTCCAAGAACACCAACAATGTACAAGCAGGCGGTTTCTACAATTGTTGCTTTCAAAGCTGAGAAGAAAACAATTCCATTCCACCCCGCCACTGCTGGTCGCTGTTGGAAATCCTCCCACAGAGCAGCGCTACAGCATGCGCATCAGGAGTTAAGCACTGTGGGGACCAGAAACGCCCTTGGCTGGGGTCCAGCTCCTGCGAGAGCTGAGAGGGATTAACCTTTCTAAGCTCCGCTTCCGGCTTCTCCTCTGCACAGAGGGCTGGTGATAAAATACAGCCCTGCTGCAGTGTGTACCAGCCAGTGAGAGGCCAGGGAGAGTGTCATGTGCAAAGTTGGACTCCTCCTGCCTCAGCCTCCCAGAGTGCACACAGATAAGGGCCTCATGCTGCCGCTCTTTTCTGTCCCAGAGCCTTTCCCCCATTGCGTCCAGGTCTAAAAGGCCTTA